GGGGGGGGGGATAAAAAGATTTGGCATAGCCCAAGCATCTTTCTTATTGAGACATTTCAAGTTCAAATTTCAACGCCCATGGCTAAAATCCAAGCATATTAGAAGCAATAATGATGGTGGGTTGACTGAAGGGGTCAACTAATGGAACACAAACATAGTACTACCTAATTTTCTTTCTACTTTCCAGGAAATACCATCTAGGCACCGCTGCTCTAGAACTCTTTGTCTCCTACTTAAAATAATGCAAAATTCAAAGCTAACTCTTCCCTTTTCTGACTACGCCAAGTTGAAATATGTTAAAAAGTCAAAAGAACAGAACCTGTCAAGTGTCAACTAACACTACCATAATACATCCATTGGCATCTTTACCATCCTTACCAGCATTTTCCCACTAGTAACTTTCTACAAGATTCTTAAAGAGTTCAAAAATCCCAAGCTATTTCTCAGCTAGTACAGTGTTGAAACTCCCATGATTTTTCAAGAAAATAGAAGCTTTAATTTAGTGTTAGGCATATTAGTGTTGAACATTCTGTGGGTGGGGGCTAAATCCCAGTGTAGTGATGATTGTGATGCATTAGCTTCGTTTTATTTATGGAATGGTGCAAACCTTACTTTCATATCTTATTCTTTTTCTACCACCATAAAAAATATTCTTAGTTATAATCCTCAGATAACCAAACCAGATACTATTCAATTCCAAAGCAGAGTTAATGTTCCCTTCTCATGTGGCTGTATAAATGGGGAATTCATGGGCCATCAGTTTGATTTGCAGGTCAAGACTAGTACTACTTATCCGAGAATTGACCGATTTTATTTTTCGAACCTTACAACAGTTGAAATGTTGCAGAAGTCTAACAGTTATGATCCTAACAATGTTCCTGTAAATTCTATAGTAAAGGTTATTGTGAACTGCTCTTGTGGGAATAGTCAGGTGTCAAAAGACTATGGTCTATTCATAACTTATCCGATTCGCCCTAATGAGACTTTGGCTACAATAGCCAATGATTTTAAGCTACCACAGAAGTTGTTGGAGGACTATAATCCTGAAGCAAATTTCAGCAGAGGGACTGGTCTGGTTTTCATTCCTGGAAAAGGTAATTAATCTCTATTAAGGTATCTATATATTCATATTGTTAGCATCTCTTAAGAATGACTAGAGCCGAGAGACTATTAGAAACAGTCTCTCTACCTTTATAAGGCAGGGGTAAGCTCTGCGTACACACTACCCTCCCCAGACCTTATTTATGGGATTACACTGGTTTTTTTTTTTTTTTTTTTTTTTTTTTTTTTTTTTTTTTTTTTTTTTGTTGTTTTAAGAATGACTAGTCGAATTAGGATGAGTTGTTACAGAAATCTCAGCGGAAACATTAAATGGAAACATGCTCATTGTATACTATAAAGGGAAGAGCAACTTTTGCAATCTGTATTTACAAACAGTTGTTGTGAGTTTCTTGATGATTTGACATGTATAACAAATTAGTAAACTTGGGATTTTCACTTGAATACCTGTTACATGCTGAGTGTTTGCGGATCTTGTAATTTTTTTCTCTTAAATCACTTTTTTCTGAAATGTATTGCAGATCAAAATGGAACTTATCCACCATTAAGGACTTCAACAAGGTTTACTCCAACCCCAATGAGCTTTTGATTATTGTTTCAATGCTATAATATTGGTAGCTAATTATGGTTTCTTGCTTTTCACAGCTCAACAGGTTAGCCCTATTTTAGTGCTCTGGTGACATCTTTTTCAGCATATCAAGTCTGAGGTATCCGAGAAGTTGTGAACGTGATTGTAATCTACTAAGAAGTGCGTTATTGACAGGAATTTCGGGTGGAGCTATAGCTGGCATATTGGTTGCAGCAGTTTTTGTTCTAGCCCTTTTAGCGGTTTTCTTGTATCTTTTCTTAATTAAAGGCAGGAAAACGGAGGACGAATCATTTCTTGACATGGCACCTTACAAACATAGTAGTAATGAGCACGTTCATGGTAATTTTTATGGTTTTGAATCTCCTAATATATACTTATTTACCCATCAAACTGTTGGTGAGAGTTTCTGTTTTTCTTGTTTCTCATTCCTCTTGCTTTTGGCAATGAGGAATCAGCATCAGCATGACTTATTTGTTAAAGATATTATCCATTTGCCATTTGTTAAAAAAAATATATGCCTCCTGCAATATAGATCCTGGTTAATGATGAAAGTAGGTCAACTAACTGTTCTGTGGAAGCAACGTGTAGTTCATCCTTCGAAAAAGTTTATAAACTAGCTACAAACTTTGAAATTTTCCTTAAATGACTCAGGTCATGCAAATTTAGAGAATTCTTCAGAACAAGGTTCTCTTAATAAGGGTGCTTCTCCAGAGCCCCCAAGGATCACTGTGGATAAATCAGTGGAATTTTCATATGAAGAACTAGCTAATGCCAGCGATAACTTCAGCACAGCCTACAAGATTGGTCAAGGTGGTTTTGCATCTGTTTACTATGCAGAGTTAAGAGGCGAGGTTCGTTGTTATTCTTGTCAGATAGAGATGCTTAGCAGTTATTTGGATACTTAGATTGATCAGCAGCTTTGTTATGTCACTATCGCGTCATATAAATAATTGTTTGGTTCAAAATCAAAAGTTATGCTTATTTCTTAGTCAGCAGGCATTTCTTCTTTCTCCTGGTTAAATTTTTAAGATGAGCATGCAGAACAAACAATTCCACAATTGTAAGGGAATCTAAATACATGTCATATTTGCATCCTGTCGTCTACATTAGAGGTTGCCTAGTTCATTGAAAGAACCACTCTAAGTTTAAAAAATAGTATAGCTCGGTTTTGTATTTCATGCTGCTAGCCTGCTAATGTCCTTTATCTCAATAATATGCAGAAAGCTGCAATCAAGAAGATGGATATGCAAGCAACAAAAGAGTTCCTTGCTGAATTGAAGGTTTTGACCCACGTTCATCACTTGAACTTGGTAAATACGTACCTCTAACCTACGAAATTTGTCTATCTATTAATGCAATTTTCAAAAATTTGGTGGACATTTCCTTCTTTGACTGATAAACTTCCTTTCCAGGATTTTGCATTTCTCAATATTTCCAATCCATTTAGTGGTCTGAGCCATTTAGCTAATGTGATATTTTCCTTGAGAAAGTCAAGATTTTTTTTCTTATGAGAGTCATGATTGGTGATTTAGTTCTGCTCTTTAACCTAATACATCATAGAGAACATGAGGTAATATTTCACATGTTGAAACTGTTGCAGGTACGTTTGATAGGATATTGCATTGAAGGATCTTTGTGCTTAGTCTACGAATACGTTGACAATGGAAACCTAAGCCAACACTTGCATGGTTTAGGTAACTTCGGTTCTTCTCATTCAAAAAAAAAAAAATCATGTCTAATCAAATTTTCAAATCTCTCACAGTTCCATATCGATCATGTACTAATTCATTTCCAGGTAGGACACCATTGCCATGGTCTACCAGGGTGCAAATTGCTCTGGATTCAGCTAGAGGCCTCGAGTATATCCATGAACACACTGTTCCTGTATATATCCATCGTGACATTAAATCAGCCAACATTTTGATCGATAAAAACTTCCGTGCAAAGGTATGAAAGTTCCAATACTAGATCTATGAAATAAAAAACCTTGAGTACTAATTCATTTGAAAATAATCTTTTGCGTTGCAGGTTGCTGACTTTGGACTTACAAAACTGATAGAAACTGAAGGTTCTATGCACACTCGTCTTGTTGGTACTTTTGGTTACATGGCCCCAGAGTAAGAATTTTGAATGAAAGTTCATTAGAGGCTTTCCCATCTTATAGTAATAACTCTCAATTTAAGGAATTAATAGTAAAAACTGCAGTTTTATGCATCATTTCAATCCTGTAGAAAATGGTTTCAGATTTCCTTATACCTTTCTGTGCAGGTATGGTCAGTTTGGTGATGTTTCTCTCAAAACTGATGTATATGCTTTTGGAGTTGTGCTTTATGAATTAATATCTGCTAAACAAGCTATTATCAGAGCTAGTGAAATTGCTACTGAATCGAAGGGGCTCGTTACAATGGTACCTTAAAACCGTTTTCTTCTTAATTCACCAAGTAATTATCAACTCTAAACCACTTAAAGAGTCTAAATTTTAACTGTTAATTGGCAAAATATTGCAGTTTGAGGATGTGCTTAAAGAGATTGATCCTAGAGAAGGAATATGCAAATTGGTAGATCCAAAACTTGGTGATGATTATCCCCTGGATTCAGTCTGGAAGGTAAAAGAGAATTATACTTGCCAAGTGTATTTTATTAAGGGATTCGTCATATTATTCGTACATAGCAGAATGAAGATGAACGATTCATATAGTCGACCCCAACTAGTTTGAGACTGACACGTACTTAGTGAATTGATTGATTGCGATAACGAAAGTAATTAGCTTTCTTTCACTTGTAGGTGGCTCTTCTTGCCAAGTCTTGCACACATGAAAATCCTCAACTGAGGCCAAGTATGAGGTCAATAGTAGTAGCTTTAATGACAATATCATCCTCAACAGCAGATTGGAACATTGCTGCATTTTATGAGAACCAGGGCCTTGCCCATCTCATGTCAGGAAGGTAACAAATTCCAATTGGACTTTATTGTGTTACTCGAAATTAGAACCAGAAGTAACACTTGCCCATTTGTTTACATCAACCATATGAACTTACTATAGGTACTTTTGCTATACTGTAAAATAGGAAAANGGGGGGTGGATATTTTGCTCCTCTATTATGTCATTTTATGAACAAAGACAAGGGCATAAGTGTTTTTTAGTAGCTGTCAAAGTCTCCAACTCTCCATGTCTTTATAAAGGAAAGATGACAAATAAACAGTGTAAAGCAAGACATTTTCAGATTTCATTTTGTCATTACTATTCTATTACCATCTTTACTAGTAATTAGAAGGTAAACTGAATTAATTATGAAAAGAAGGAAACGAGAAAAACATTTACTCGATTATGGAAGTATATTTGCGTAATAAAATTGCAAACCATGGAGTATGTAGCACGTTGTAATTTTAAAAGTAGGGTGATATTTATAGTTTTCATGCAAATCAGTGAAAAAATTTACTCATATGTTTATCTATCCACTAATTGACAAAATATAATCATAGTTAAATGGACATTTCGAACATAAATTACTTCCAAACAAATAAGTTACACTGTATTTAGAAGTAAACACTAAAATGTTTGCTTCTCGCTGAATTTTCACCAGCAAAAAAAAAAAAAAAAAAGGATTCTCACTGAATTGTTCTATTTTTCTTATCCCTTACCTCTTCAACAGCAAAAAGATAAAGGGGAAAAAAAAGAGAGGTAAGAAAAGATAATTGAAGAAGTCTAAAGAAGTAGTTGACCTAAAAATATTCTTCTTGTTATGTTAATTAGTCAATAAGCAGCATGAAGAAATACTGCACTAATTTTCAATTCTTTTGATTTTTCTTATTGTACTAATTTTTACCATAAGTATAACATGGATATGAATTTTAGATCAAGGGATGGATGTCGTATTTGAGCAATAGATACAAATGTATACGGACTTAAAATTTCGAATCTATCTTTTTAAATATCTGAAAGGAAATCTGGAAGGCCAATAAAAACTCTACAATTAATTGTTTGCTTTTCCCTTCATAGTGATTCTGAGATGCCCATTTCTTATGTATTCGTTGGGACCTTCATTCACCTTCCTGCCCCAACTAATGCTATCTATTCCACCTTTATGTCTCCATTCCCTGTGGGCCTTTGTATTTCAATTCTGTATTGCTATCATGTAAATTGATAAAATTTTCTTAATTACCAACTAACTTTCCCATCCAATTAAACAACAACAGCAACAACAATAACCCAGTAAAATCTCACAAGTGGAGTCTGGGAGGGTAGTATGTACACAGACCTTATCCTTACCCCGAAGGAGTAGAGAGGCTGTTTCCGGAAGATCTTCGGCTCAAGATAATAAGAAAAACAAAAAGGAGAGAATATTAGTTTCACCACAGAGATCATAGGAAAAATAGGAACATAAAATGCAGAAGGAAAAATGCAAAACAAAAATGATGGCTAGTAAATAGGTCCTGCACCGAAAAGAGAAAATAGTAAGACACGACAATGCCCTTAGCTATTTCAAACAAAAACCCTACCAGACTAGGCTCACAACAGTACAAGGTAACACAAGACTCAATCTCACGACCCGAATTTCCCACCCTCGGGAGTCGTGATGGCACCTACTAATGTGAGCTAGGCAAGCCAATCATTAAACTACTTACTTCATTACCCAATTATTTCTTTTTAACAAATATAAGGAGACAACATGAAAACAACGAAACTTTAAATAATTAAGCGGAAGATAACAATTAAATATCTGAAATCTGCATCTAATACACCTCTTAAAACCTAAAGCACCCAAAACTTGGTGTCACAGTGTCACAGACGGTCTAAGATTTACTACATACAAAGTCTGAAAAAAATGACAGTACACTGTTTCTGAATAAAAGAAAAAATGAAACAGGAAATAGGAATAAAGGAGACGCTAGGGCCTGCGGATGCTTGCAGGTCTACCTTGGATCTCCGCGTGGACTGAAGGTAGCCTCCACACTACGGTCCAAAAGCTGCTCCGGGATCTCCACATAGTACAGAGTGTAGTATCAACACAACCGACCCCATGTGCTGGTAAGTGTCTAGCCTAACCTCGGCGAAGTAGTGACGAGGCTAGGACCAGACTACCAAATAACCTGTGAAGTTCAAATACATAGACAACGGAAAGAAATACAGAAATAACCAGTCAATATGGGAGGGGGAGCATGCTGTGGGGGAGATAACAATTCCGAATAGAAAGACATCAAGTAATGAAAGAAACAATATAACTCGATATCAACAAAGAATCAGAAATCAACAAATGCACGGCATCACCCTTCGTGCTTTTACTCTCGTCCTCACCAAAACAATCATATAATAGAAACAAATGTACACGGCATCACCCTTAGTGCTTTTACTCTCTTTCCTCACCATATAATCAATATAGTTGGCACGGAATGGTACATCGTGCGGCACGGCATCACCCTTCGTACTTTACACTCTTTCTTCACAATCATACACGGCATCACCCTTCGTGCTTTACACTCTTTCCTCACAAAACAAACAATGCATGGCATCATCCTTCGTGCTTTAACTCTCTTCCTCACCCAAACAACAATCACAAACGATAGGGCAAGGGAACAAATGAAATTGCAATAAAAATCCCGGCAAGGGAACAACAATTCAACAATTTAATCCCGGCAAGGGAGATAACAAATAAATCAACAATAGCCCGGCAAGGGTGACAACATAATGATCTCTTCTCTTTCTCACTTTTGTTTCACTATTCACTTCACAACTCGAGTCAATGCTCTAGAGGTTCAATTATCACTTATACTTTCACAATTTGTTGTACAACTTGAGCCAACGCTCCTCAAGGTTCATAGATCACAATTCCTTCCACAAATTTTATACCACAAATAGAAACTACCACTAAGGCATGAAAGATACAACGAAATCATGATAATCACAATATAAAGACTCACGGGCATGCTAGGCACCAATGTATAGATACTCGTCACTATGCCTATACGTCGTACTCAACAATTACCACATAGCAAATAGGACTCAACTCCTAATCCCTCAAGCTAAGGTTAGACCAAACACTTACCTCGATGCCACGAACACAATTCACGATTCAATTATAGCTTTACCACTTGATTCCACCACTAATTCGCTCGTATCTAGTCACAAGTTACTTAATTACATCAATAAACGCCAAATGAATCAATTTGAATACATAAAAATGAGTATTTCAAAGATTTGCCCAAAAAGTCAAAAATTGCCCCCGGGCCCACATGGTCAAAACCCGAGGTTTGAACCAAAACCCGATTACCCATTCCCCACGAACCCAAATATATAATTTGTTTTGAAATCGAACCTCAAATCGAGGTCCAAATCCTCAATTTTTGAAAAACCTAGGTTCTTCCCAAAACACTCAATTTCTCCCATGAAAATCATTGATTTTAAGTTGAAATCATGTTAAAAGATGTTAATGATTGAAGGAAATGAGTTAAAATTAACTTACAATCGATTTGGAAGAAGAGTTGTTCTTTGAAAATCGCCCAAAGGAGTTTGTGTTTTGAAAAGATGTGAAAAATGGGTTTAAAATCGTCTAAGTATAAAGTTGCAGGTCGCAGGTATGAGAAATGTGAACAGAGGTTCGCAATTGCGAACCCCGACCTCTGCTAAGTTGGAAAATGCGAAATAGGTTTCGCATTTGCGAACCCTTCAGCAAAATAGGACCTTCGCATTTGCGAACATCATGTCGCATTTGCGACTTAGGAATTGCGAAGAATGGGTCGCATTTGCGACCCAAGGCTGAACAGGGATTTTCGCATTTGCGAAAGACTACTCGCATTTTCGAGCAAGGTAGACCTGGGTTGTTCTTCGCATTTGCGATCCAGCCTTCGCATTGCGAGCCAGGCTTCGCAATTTGCGAAGCCTGCAGGCCTGGGCACACCAGCTAAAATTCTGCAATTTTCCAAGTACAAACAACACCTCGTGGCCTATCCAAAACTCACCCGAGCCCTCGAGGCTCCAAACCAAATATACACACAACTTCAAAAACATCCCACGGACTTATTCGCGTACTCATATCACCAAAATAACATCACGAACATCGAATTAAACCTCAAGATCAATAAAATTTCTCAAAACTCCTTTAAACATCAAATTTGAATTTAAGGTTCGAATCACGTCAAACGGATTCCGTTTCTTACCAAACTTCACAGAATTATCTTTAATCATATATAAGACCTGTACCGGGCGCCGGAACAAGATACAGGCCCGATACCAACATGTTCTAATCAAAATTCATTTCCAAAACTTTTAAACCATTTCAGAAAACAATTTTCTTTAAAAATTCATTTCTCGGGCTTGGGACCTCGGAATTCGATTCCGGACATACGCCCAAGTCCCATATTTTCCTACGGGGTCATCAAATCATGGGTCGGGTCCGTTTAACCAAAACGTTCACCAAAGTTAAATTAATTTATTTTATAGTCAAAATTTATCATTTTTAACAGATTTCACATTTAGGCTTTCCGGCTACGCGCCCGACTGCGCACGCAAATCGAGGTGATGCTAAAAGAGGTTTTTAAGGCCTCATAACGCAGAATTTCATTTGAAAACAAGTGATGACCCAAAATATTCTCCACCTCTGAAACAATCGTTCGTCCTCAAACGGACAGAAGAAGGAAGTACTTGAGTCGGGGAAAAGATGGGATAATGGCTCTGCATATCGGACTCGGACTCCCAGGTCGATGCCTCAGGAGGCTGACCTCTCCACTGAACACGAACAGAAGGAAAACTCTTTGATCTCAAGTGACGTACCTACTGGTCTAGAATAGCTACCGGCTCCTCCTCATAAGACAAGTCCTTGTCCAACTGGACAATGCTGAAATCTAACACGTGGGATGGATCACCGTGATATTTCCGAAGCATGGACACATGAAACACTGGATGCATTGCTGATAAGCTCGGCGACAATGCAAGTCTATAAGTCACCTCTCTCACTCGATCAAGAATCTCAAACGGGCCAATGAATCTTGGGCTAAGCTTGCCCTTCTTCCCAAATCTCATCACACCCTTCATAGGCGACACTTGAAGCAATACCCGCTCACCAACCATGA